GCGCACCCTGGTGGCCAGGGACGCCTAGAGCCATGACTTGCATTTGTTGGAACGTTCAGGGATTGGGGAACCTTGAAACGTTGACTGCTTTCCGCAGGTTGATGTGGACTCATTCCCCAAGTCTAGTCTTTCTTTCGGAGACTAGACTTTCTGATAGGTGGGCGCAGATGATCAGATTTCAGTTGAGTTTTCAGAATTGCTTTGTGGTGAATAGTAGGGGAAGAAGTGGTGGACTCATGTTACTATGGGGCGATGAAATGAATGTGACTATTCGCTCTTTTTCTCCGAGGCACATTGACGCATCAGTTGTTGACTCAGCGGGAAGGAACTGGTGATTCACCGAGGTTTATGGTCATCCCCGGAAACACTTAAAAGGTACCAGTCCTGAGATTTGTTGAGACGGTTGAGGGGTCTTTCCTATGAGCCATGGTTATGTGGAGGTGACTTTAATGCCATCACGAGTTCAGGGGAGAAGCTGGGTAGTGGACAGGCACATGTTTCGAGTATGCTAGATTTTCAGAATGTTCTGCTGCATTGTGAGCTACTTGATCTGGGGTATTACGGGCACACCTTCATTTGGATTAATCGTCAGATTGGTACATCTCATATCCATGAGCGCTTAGACAGGATGGTAGCTGACTCTGGCTGGCGTGACATATTTCCCACTGCTGAGATACACCACTTGGATTTTTCTATTTTTGACCATCGTCCTATTATGTTATATTTTGCTGCTCCTCGCCCCCTTCCTATTAGGCATGGTCGTCCCTCCGCTTTGAGGCCTTTTGGTTCAAATAGGATGATTTGAGTGATGTTAGTAGCAGGGTCTGGCCTAATATCTCCACACAACAGGGTTTATGTGAGTCAGTTTGTCAGAAGCTAGGGTCTTGTGCTACAAATCTCAGTAGTTGGAGCAAAGAGCGTTTTGACAGATGAAGGCACAGATTATCAGTTATTCAGCGAAAGCTCCAGTCTCTGTACTATTCTCCTGATGTTGAGGATCGTATGGCTGAGATTCGAAGACTTGAGAAGGAGAGGGATGTTCTTGAGTATAGGGAAGAGAGCTTCAGACAATAGCGAGCTAGGGTTGATTGGCTCCGAGACGGAGACCGTAACACCAAATTCTTCCATATTAGAGCTTTCACTAGGAGGAAGAACTTTATTAGTCGTCTACGTCATCCGAATGCCACTTGAGTGGAGGATCCGATGGGAGTTGCAACGCTTATTAAGGAGTATTTCTCGGAGCTATTTTCTTCTTGCACTCCTTCAGATGAGGTTTTGGCTGAGGTGGGTGGTGCTATCTCTTCAAAGCTTTCAGTGAATGACCTCCCGATCATTTCTGAGCCTTTTACAGGTGATTAGGTATGCGGTGCTTTCGATCTATGGGTCCTTCTAAGGCACCTGGCCTAGATAGCTTCCATGCATCCTTTTTTCAATCCTAGTGATCTATTATTGGTCCAGATATTTCGGCTGCATGTTTGGAGATTCTAAATGGGGGCTCATCTATCAGGTCTTAGAATAAAACCAATGTGGTTCTCATCCCCCAAAAAAATTCACCTGAGACTGTGGCAGATTTTAGACTCATTGGCCTATGTAATATGGTCTACAAGATTGTCATGAAAACCATTGCTAATAGGCTGGAGCGGGTTCTTGGCGGATTGATTGGATGCTTTCAAAATGCTTTTGTCCCAGGGAGATCTATTTAGGATAATGTTATTGTTGCTTTTGAACTTCTCCACATATTGCAGAAGAGGAGACGGGGTCAGCCTGGTCATATGGCACTGAAATTGGATATGAGTAAGACATATGACAGAGTGGAATGTGGGTTTAGACAGGGCTTTTCAAGTCATCGGATTTCCAGATCATTGGAGGCATCTCATCTTGGACTGTATCTCTACTTCATCACTCTCTTTCTGCCTCAATAGGCAGATTGTGGGTAAGGTCACTCCTACTTGTGGTCTGCGACAGGGATGCCCACTATCTCCTTATTTGTTTCTTCTCTGCACGGAAGCTCTCTCGGCACTGATCATCAGATAGGAGGAGAACAAGTACATCAGAGGGTTATCTTGTTCTTGGTCGGGGCCAAGTATTTCTCACTTGTTCTTTACAAATGACTCTTTGGTTTTTATTCAGGCTTCTCAGGCTGCTGCATAGGCTATCCAGAGTACTCTACTATTATATGAGGCTGCAACCGGTCAGAAAGTCAACTTTTAGAAGTCTGTCATCACCTTTAGCCTCTGTGTAGATGTGGATACTAGGGCCTCTATTTTCTCTGTCTTGGGGCTTGATAGGACCCAGTCACTTGGTAGGTACTTAGGCCTCCCTTCGGTGGTTGGAAGAAGTCGTCGTCAGACTTTTGCTTCAATCAGAGACTCAGTTTGGAAAAGAGTCCAAGCTTGGAGGATGGCTCTTTTCTCAGTTGCGGGACGAGAGGTTATGGTGAAAGCTGTTTTGCAGGCGATTCCATGCTATGTGATGAGGATCTTCCGCATTCCCATTTTATTGTGCTGGGAGATTGAGTCTATAATTATGAGATTCTGGTGGGGATCAACTTCTGATGAGAGAAAGATTCACTAGGTTAGGTGCCAGAAGGTGTGTTGTACAAAATCAGAGGGTGGTTTGCGCTTTAGAGATCTACAGATGTTTAATTAGGCATTGGTGGCTAAGCAGGCATGAAGGATCATTCAGGACCCTTCTTCTCTGGCTAGTAGGGTTTTGAAGGGGAAGTATTTCGTGGACTCAAATTTCCTTTCAGCTGGTGTCGGCCCTAGCTGTTCTTATTTATGGCGGAGCATTATCTTGGGGAGAGAGCTCTTGGCTTGAGGTCTGAGATGGAGGATAGGTGATGGCCAGAGTGTCTATATCAGTGCTGACCCATGGATCCCAAGGCCCTTTTCTTTCAGGCCAATCACTTCTCCGATCGACCCTTCCAGAAGTGTGGCTAAGCTGATCTCTGCTTCGGATACTTGGAATCATGATCTAATTGCTACCTCGTTTTGGCAGGTGGATCGGGAGAACATTTCATTAATCCCACTGTCGCCTTCTCTTATCCCTGACAGACTCATTTGACATTATGAGAAGGGGTGCTACACAGTCAAGAGTGGTAGGGTTTTGAAGGGGAAGTATTTCGTGGACTCAAATTTCCTTTCAGCTGGTGTCGGCCCTAGCTGTTCTTATTTATGGCGGAGCATTATCTTGGGGAGAGAGCTCTTGGCTTGAGGTCTGAGATGGAGGATAGGTGATGGCCAGAGTGTCTATATCAGTGCTGACCCATGGATCCCAAGGCCCTTTTCTTTCAGGCCAATCACTTCTCCGATCGACCCTTCCAGAAGTGTGGCTAAGCTGATCTCTGCTTCGGATACTTGGAATCATGATCTAATTGCTACCTCGTTTTGGCAGGTGGATCGGGAGAACATTTCATTAATCCCACTGTCGCCTTCTCTTATCCCTGACAGACTCATTTGACATTATGAGAAGGGGTGCTACACAGTCAAGAGTGGACACCGACTTCTTCGCCACACTATGCCTAATACTGCTTCCACCTCGGATTCTAGGGTGACGAAGTGATGGTCCTTGATCTGGCATACGGAGATCCCACCGAAGATTAGAGTGTTTCTGTGATGCATGTTCTATGATGCTCTCCCCACCTCAGCTGGCTTATCTCGCAGGGGATCTCTGTGTCCCCTAGTTGATGCCTTTGTTCTGCTGCCTTTGAGACTGCCCTTCATATCTTCACTGTCTTCTCTTTTGCTCGTTTAGTGTGGGAGTCCTTAGATCTTTGGGAAGTGATCGATGACTTTCGAGGTACGTCTTGTGATGATTTTCTTTTCCATCTCACCTCTGTTTGCCCTGGGAACTCTCTGGCTTTGGCTTTCACAACCATGTGGTTTATATAGGGGAAAGGAATATGCACTCCCACGATGGTGATGTTAGAGAGGTTTCGGTCTTGATGACTCAGATTCTTTGTTTTGTGGAGGAAGGGGATAGAGTTAGAGGTCTATCCCGTGATATTATCACCCCTTTCAAATGACTTTCTGCTTGGAATCCCCCTGCTTCTGGTCTGCTGAAGCTCAACACAGATGCTGCTGTTCCTCTAGAAGGAGATAATATTGGGTTGGGATGTGTTATTCGGGATCACCATGGGCATGTGATTGGTTACTATTCTATGGGGCTTAATGGTCCTATGTTTGTGGATCATACAGAGCTGTTGGCTGTCCTGTAAGGCATTCGTTTTGTTCGGCGTATGAACTGGAGGATTTCAATGGTGGAGATTGACTCTCTAAGGGTTGTCTCCTTGATGGACTCTCCTTCTCCTTTTGCTTCCATGACTCCTATTGCAGATGAAATTCGCGCTGGTCTGACTGCTATTGGTTGCTCTAAAGTTTCTTATGTAAGGCGCATTGGTAATGGTGTTGCTTCTTTCCTAACTAAGTCGGTTGACTGTTTGTCCTTTTGTTCTTGGTCTGGTTCTGTCCCTTTATTTTTGAGACAGAGTGTTGTTAATAACTTAGCTGGTTAGATTGTCCTACCTGCCTTTTCAAAAAAAAAAGTCTCTCTGATTTAAATCCACGGTAGGAATTTAATCAGTGTGAAACAATTAATGTACAGTCAAGTGGTTCGTTGGATCGTTGCTATTTCAATCTAGTCCAATATAAATAACCATATCATATTATGTTGATCTCTTTTTCTCATTGGATCCTTTTAGTTTTCTGGTTTGAATATTTTGGGTTAATTTCAGAAAGCCTGTCTTAACTTAGCGGGTTTTGTAGAATAAGCACCTTAACTTTTGAGGGGTTTCGTACGTAACACCTTTGAATTTTTTTTTTATTGCACTAAGTATGTTGAAGATTTTTCACTTCAACCCCCTAAGTTACACCGTTAAGTCTAGCATGTCATGTGCCTTGGCATGACAACGAGGACGAAAATGCCCCTCCGCCCTTTAAAAATCGCCCTTCTATCCTCTTTATTATTACTAACATTATAACACTACAAAACTTTGACAGGATAAACAAACCGGAGACTGGTGTCTCTCAACATCAGACGGTAAAACCGAAGAACTAATTGGGTGGTGGCCGAGCTCGATCTTCACCAGTCTGGCCGAAGAAGCGGAATTCATCGAATGGGGTGGAACAGTAATGTCCGCTTTGGACCAGAAGAGTCCTCCGATGGGCAACGGGCGATTCCCACTGTACGGTGCACGTGTTTCTCTGATCAGTACCCTCGACGAAAACAACAACGCTCAAGATCCTAAAGGAAGGCTTGTCGCAGATAGATCTGAATGCTACAACGCTGCTTGGTTTGGTAACAGGCCTGCGTACGGGTGGTCGTTTTACTACGGAGGCCCCGGGGGATGCCTCGGTTAGCAATTTTATTTGTTCTTGGTTAGTAATTTTACGTATCTCGTTAATGACTTTGGTTTCTGAATAAAATTATCTTGAGAGGGCTTAATTGATCGCACCTACTTCTTCGGTCGGGTTATCTGTTTCTGTCATGAATTTACGTAGAGCAATTCCGACCTTGCTAGGGTACTTCATTTTATATCATAAAAAAGTCACTTATAACAAAAAAAATAATAATAAAACAGTTGCAATTATAATTTAAACTATTTTTTTATTACAAATTACAACTATAGTTATAGTTTGAATTGATTGCATCAAGTCAGCTAAAAGTGTTAAAGAATCAGATCCCTCCCTCTCGATTTTATTAGAAGACGGAGATAAACATGTCATTGCCCCCCTAGGCCCTGTTTGGTTCCATTTTTTTGTTGGGTAAAAGGGGGAAAAGCTGCCAAAAATGTCAGCTTTTTGGTAGCTTTCCCCCAAAATCGCCTCTTATAGAGTTGATTTTAGGGGAAAGTTGTCAAAAAGCTGACATTTTTGGCAGCTTTCCTCTCTTTTACCCATCTAAAAAACTGATCCAAACAGCCTCTAAAGAAATTGATCCTTCTTTCCGTTCTTTATTGTTGAGCATTGGTTGGTCAGGAACATGGTGGAGGGCCAAAAAAACTCACATCCATGATTTCAGAGTGAACCTCACATGGGGTTGGACTTTTTTTTCCTCGCTTTACTCTCCATTATTATTATTGCTCCACTTGATAGCTAGCTCGATTTCTTGCTCCCTCTTTCATGCTTGCTATATATCTTGCATCTGCTGCATGGGCACTCTCGATCAATTTTATTATTTCATTAAATTGTAGGGAGTAGAAATCATCCTATCCTCTTGTATTCACTTGCTTTCCTTCGATAAGGTAACTAGGGAGCTAATTTTGTCAAATAAAATTAAGATGTTGACCCGATATCACGTCGGATTAACACACGTTGTTTTTTTTTTTTATAATTTGGTAACACAGCAATCAACCACCCAGTCACGGTTAATAATTTGAATAATGCTAAATATACCAAAGGGACTAATTTCAAAATATTTCAAAGATTTTACGTGACAAGTTTCAAAATATGAGAGTTGGGGGGACAAGTTTTAAATATGAAAGAGGTCCATACTATGAAATATTGCCAATGTAATTTGTAAAAGAGTGCTGTTATAGGGACTCTAAAATAAGGGACCCTGAGTTTAATTTAACTGTGGCCCCCAGCTCCGCCGCTGATAACGATGAGTTTAATTAAGTTGTTATCGTGATATCTTAATTAGTGCGCCATGGAATCTGTTTAACCTTAACATACGCATGGGTTAGCTCCAAATCTCGACCTGACCTTGATAACGACTGCTTATATAATGCCATGACCAAATATGGTGGGGCCCAAGAGAATGTGCATCCGACGTGTCACTGCGACTGGCACCCACGCTAAGGAGGACTAAATTAACCAATAAACGAGTGTCGGTGTGATATTCTATTGGGCTAAATTACCATGATATTTTTTTTTTCTTGACCTCTTTTTTTTTTAATTTTTGATGTTTTTTTCTCTCGTTTTGATATTAGTTTGCTTTGTTTTTTGTTTTCCCTTGCCCATTGTGCAAACAGACCGAAAATGGGCTGACGCCTGACGGTCAAAAGAACCCAGGAATCAGTGACATGAAATGTATTAAAGAGTAAATATTTTTTAATATTAGTTCATCAAATCTTCACTATTCTTATATATAAGTGCTTCAAATCATTAAAATTTAAAATTGGACTTCAAAAACCTCAGCCACGTCTATAGGTCAAATTTTCAAAAACGACCTCTTTTCATATTTAATTCCAAAAACAGACCTATTTTTCATAATATTTTCAAAAACCAACCTGGTTTTAGCCTTGGCGTTAAAACCATGTCGGTTTTTGTGAAAAAACTTCCGAAACTTCACGGAAGTTGAACTCCATGACAATTTAATTATATAGATTTTTAGTTTTCTAATTTAGCCTCTCATTAAATTAGAATTGCAATCTGGTATTTGCACAATTAGCCCATGATAATTTAATACCCATTGATCCAATTACCTGATTGATCACTTTATGTAGGTCAACTGAAGATGATAGCAACATACATTGATGTAACATATGTGCCCACAAATAGATTTAATTAGATTTAAATCCAAAAGGAGCAAGAAAAAAAATATCAAAGTGATAAAAGGAGTTAAGATAAAAATACTAATATGATAATTTAGCTTCCTCTATTGGGTTTGAATCCACTAAAGAAAAAGTATCCTATGTGATTTAGTACCCAATTTAGCAAATGGATTATATACAATGCCCCTAAACCTATGCATATGCTGCAAATAATAATTAAAGAGTACACTTCTTCTTTGGCAATCATTAACATGAGATAAAATTCATGTACTCCCGAACGAGTCATAACTTGCTACTTTTCAAGTAAACAAATATTTCGCATAAAACAACTATTCTGCTGCAAACTGAGGTGGAGACAAAATATCGCCGCCGCCGCAGCAGCAAAAACTTAGTACCCTTCTACGTATGAAAATAGAACAATTTTTCAAAACAGCCATATTTTACTTTTTTAATTTTTAAAATCGACTCATTTTTTTTATTTATCAAAACCGACCCGTTTTTTGCCATGTCAGCCTAATCATCCTCCTAAACAGTCGGGGTTGTCAACCCCGACTATTTAGGAGGGTGTTAAACCTCAATTAGAAGCCTTAAACCCTAAAATTTTATGTCCTAAATAGTCGGGGTTTGCAACACCGACTGTTTAGGAGAATGATTAGGCTGACGTGGCAAAAAACAGGTTGGTTTTGGTAAATAAAAAAAATAGGTCGATTTTAAAAATAAAAAAAATAAAATAGGACTGTTTTGAAAAATTGTTCTATGAAAATACTAATAAAAATTCGAAAATCCCCAATCAAACCAGTTTCAGAAACAAGATATTTGAAAGGGCATGTCAAATTATAGACGGCAGAACAATAGTCAAGCTCAAAAGAGCGGTCAAAATCCACATGAGTTAAACAAACAAGGAATATAAAGAAACAAACCTTGATTCCCTCGGGGGTACTTGTCTGCTCGAAAGTGAATTAAAATTGTGTAAGTTATTATTATTATTTTTTTTGCAAACAACTTTCACATCGACATCAGTATGTAAGTGGAATACAATGTTTGTTTCGAAAAACGAATTTATTGTTGAAAGTACAATGTGAAGATAACGTGTGACAAAATTAGATCAATTAGTAAATATAATTAAAATGTGTTACTATTTCCGTTACTTTTATGTGACTTGACCCTTTTTTTTAGAGGAAGTCAAAATCGAATTAAATCATATGCGGCAATTTTTTTTTATTTTACCTTCAACACTACTTACATGTAAACAAACACATAAAATGTTAAAAGAAAATCACTTTCTCACTTCATCTTTCACTTGCATCTAAACAAACGGCCTCTGAAAAGGAACGCGTGGGCCCAAAAAATTGGGATCTCCCAACCGTTGTTGAGGGTTGTCCTAGCCAAACTTTGGACCCCAAACGAATTAATTAGGCGGGTAATTGTCCTAGTCAAAATTAGTAGAGAGAGTGACAATTTGTCCTCTAATTTACGTGTTTCCTTCTTTTTTTTAGCTTTTTCATCTTACTTTTTGCTCTTGACTAAAGTCTCATTAATGTCTTATTTACAATCTGATTATGTAAGCGTTGTCTTGCTCATCTTATAGTAACTTTCACAATGGCAAAATTGTTAGGTTGCAAACGAACGTTGAGAATTATTATTTTATATCTAATGTATTATTGACAAGTTGAATCTCTTGTTTATGAGTAAAAGCCTAGATTATGTCAGTCAACATAACCTTTTCAACTTATGCGGAGATGAATTGACTTAAAAACAGAGAAACATAGTTCATTTTCTTAAAAATAGACTTAAAGAAACATAGTTCATTTTCTTAAAAATAGACTTAAAAACAGAGAAACATAGTCCATTTTCTTACAGTACAGAAACTATTTATGCGGAGACGAACCGAAATGTCCGTGGATCATGCAAAGAAACAATGCAAATTTAACAACTATTAATTATATGATGACACCACTTTTTAAGAAATACTCCCGCTGCCGCCGTGAGAATTTAAATTTCCCTCCAACGTTATTTCAAAGTTTCTTTTGCTATGTGGAGACCTTCAAACTCGTGCCTAGGATTGTAATCAGAACTCTACGGCGCATGAACATTGTCCATAGGATAACTACGTACTCAATTGATCTATTATTAGAAAATTAAGAATCGAATTTAAATCTCAAGTTCAAATATGGGAAACTAGCTAGTATAACACCTGACTCAAGTTAGATAGCAATTGCACTAGCAAAGAACTTTGACAGGGCCGGACAACTACCTAAAAAACACCTCTCTCCCAACATTGTGAGGTGGTCCCCAAACCTGAGAAGCTACATCTTTTAATTTCTTTCCTTCTTTTTCACAAATGGCACCTATATTAATTGATTATGGTAAAGACAAATTTTGTCACAAGTCCTTTTTGACTAATTAAACTGAGAAGCTCAGCCTTTCTCTTTGAACTCTTCTTGTTCGTATTTTACACTTCGTTCGGCCTCTATATGTAACCGTTCGATAATCCGAATGACTAAATTATTAACCTGTTATATAAGTTTTATTTTAGTCCTTGTGGTCAGTTTTAGTGTTTGGGAATAACAGTGATTTTTGACTATTTTCTTTATAATTAGAAGGGTTAACTCTTAATCCTTCTAAATAGGAGTATTAGTGAACCCCTCATTTTGAGGGGTTAAAACTCATTTTAGTCCCTCTAGAGGGATTAGCTTATCTCTTCTATATTTTTTATGTTTGGCAAATTATGGAGGATTAACTCACTTTAACCCTTGTATAGATTTTTTTTGTTTGGCGGGTTAAGAAGGGGTTAAGTCTCTTTAACCCCTCACTTAACCATTTGTCAAACGGTATCTAAGTGATCAAATAAATAGTCCTTTTCCAAATACGAGCTATAAATCTTGGGATGATGTACATGGAATGAAACTATACGAGATTTTTTTATTGGAATAAAATCTCTTTTTACAGATGGATTATGCCTAACGCGTGCAAATAGTAATAGTTTAAAGGCTAAATTTGGAAAGCTTGCAGTAAGAACTTATGCGAAGAAAACAACACAGACTCTGATCGTATACTTAATATATAAATAGAAATGATAGGGGCACACCTTTTACCACACCTCCAACCACATCATCTCTCTCGCTGCAGTGCATCGGGCCAACATGAGATTTTATTTAATAAAATCTCATGTGGGCCCGGTGCACTGTAGCGAAAGAGATGATATGGTTAGAGGTATGATAGAGGGTGTGCCCCTAGTGCCTCTCATATATAAACTTGCATGTCCTAGTATCAACAGCCCAAACGAATGATGTCTAGATGTAGACATTTTATGCGTACATAGCATTGCTCAGGGAAAATTTTTGATATTCTAACGCTGCATAAGATAACTAAGCCTTAAAAACTAGACTGTTAGGACTAAGAAATAAATATAAAAAAAATGTCAAGCTTCTTACTTGAAGACTAACAAAAATGTCAAGCTTCTTACTTGAAGACTAACAAAAACAAATGCGGTGAGAGGCATTACTCCATTTCCTTTCCTCCGTTTGATCACAAGGACACCAAATTAATTAGAATCAAACTTTTGCAGTTGGCTTCCATTTGATAATTCAAAGGCTCAATTAAGAAGACATCATAAATGATCCGCATTATTTCATGCTTGGATCCCATGATTCAAAGTATGGAGTCCGATGTGCTCGTCGCAACCAGTTTCTTGATTGGTTCTTAAAATTGCAGTGGTTAGGGCTTGTTTCATTGTACTCTCTAGTCTTCTGACTGACAACACAATTTATCATCATATTTTTGCAAATGTAATCTGTTTTTGGTAAATTACAAGAAACACCCTCGTCGAAAACGTTCAACAAAGACTTCCTACTCGTGATCATTAGTGGGAAACCGTTAGTTTCCAGCAGAGTTTTATTCCTCGAATATTTGCACAGATATTTTCATTTGAATAGACATATCGGCACATAAAATACCAAACTCCAAGTAGTAATTGTAGATGAGAAGGTTTTCCGTTGAACTTTTTAGTTTGTTGCTTTTCCTTTTTCTTTTCGCATGTTTGGTTATTTTTTGTGTAAAACTCTTGAAAAGCATTGTAGCTAGTAATTGAACCCTCCACATAAAACTGATAGCTACAGTGTATATCCACCGAAAACAGTTCAACATCGGGGGAGTTATATAGAGCTTGCCGCCTAGAATTTTTATTGACCACATAATCCTACTACTTGCCTAAACAAATAAGGTAATTGACAGGTACATGTACAGTTACAGTTATAGCTATAGTAACTCGCAAGCAAAAAAATTGCCTAAGGGTGGGCATGGGCCGGGCCGGTTCAAGCCCATGACCCGACCCATCGGGTTCAATGGGGGGCCGGGTCAGAATGGTTCGGGCCTACTTTTCTGATCCCGGGTCTAGGACTGAACCCAGCCCCACCCATGACCTGCCTAGGTGCGAGCAAGGTCTGACCCGACCTACGGCCCGTGAGTCATGGGTCAGCCCATGGTTTTTCGTCCAACTTATTTTTCACTTTTTCTTGCATTTACAATTATAAAATTAGTTCTAATTTATTTTTTAGTAATTTAAACTTGTACTAAACTATTTTTAGACTTGTATTAAATTTTTTAGCCCTTCCAAATAGACAACATCAAGTTTAAAGATCAATGTTTTGTTTCTCAATGGGCCAAAAGGAGCACGAGCTTTGTTGGTAGCTAGCTGCAGACCCAAATAGCTAAAGGAATAGTTAGACTAACCAAAATATATATCATGGACCGGATCGGGGCTAAGCCTATTTCTCTAACCCGGGTCTGAGGCTGGACACGACCTGACCCGTGACCCAGGTATCTTATAGCTGGTCCCGGTCAAGCCCGTAGTCTCGTAGTTGGACCCGTGGCCGAGTCAAGTCATGACCCATGACGGGCTGGGCCAGTGGGTGGAGCCGGCCAACGCCCAATCCTAAAACCGCCCAAGCAAACAGTCACTTACCAAAGTAGATTGAAAAGATTTACCAGCATCAACATGGTTCTCAGCAGCAAACGCGTAGCCCTTTTTCGTACTCATTATTCCTCAAAAAAGCTCTCACTTTACAGTTACTGATCCTTGGTACTTTCTACTACCTTTATACTCACTGGCATTTCACCGGCCGCATTCCCTCTGTCTCCACCTCCCTCTCATTTCCACGTGATCTTGTGTGAACACGGCCTGCTCCCTTTTATTATTAGTCTCTGTATATAGAGTCGCCCAAGATCCAATCTTTAGATCTCCCTTCCCCCAAAAATCCAATCTTTAGCGGTACCAACATCCTCGAAATGTCCTCTCCCCCCTAAAAACCCAACCTTCGGCATTCATTTCCCCCTCAAGATCCAATCTTTAGCGACACCCAGTTCTCCTTATGGCTCCTCTCTCCTCTGCCACACTCGTCCTCATCTTCGCGCTCCTCCTCTTCGCTCTCTCAGTCCCAACCCAATCTGAGAAAATCCAGCTCAGTAGGAGGAACCTAGCTTTAACTGAGCAGGAACCAGAGGACCAACCACTCGCCAAACCGAAAACAAAGAAGAAAAGCGCAGCTCTTATCGAGCAAGAAGAAGAAGAAGCCCAAGCGCTCACCAAACCCAAATCAAAGAAGAAAGGTGCAGCACTTGCCGAGCAAGAAGAAGAAGAAGTCCAAGCGCTCACCAAACCCAAATCAAAGAAGAAAGGCGCAGCCCTCATCGAGCAAGAAGAAGACGTCAGGGAACTCCCCCAACCCAAAACGAAGCAAAAAAGTGCAGCCCTCATCGAGCAAGAAGAAGAAGAAGCGCAATCCATCACCAAATCTACCACAAAGAAGAAAAATCCCACCTCGGATTCCAAAAACCAAACCAAACCCATCAAGCCCAAGAAATCCAATTCCACTTCCACTTCCACCTCAAGCTCCGCTCCCAAATCCAACAAGCTCAACAAAACCCTCACTCTCAGGCCCACAAATTCCACCAAAAACTCCACCAAAACCCCAAAACCCCCTCCCAAATCCTCCACAAGTTCTCCAAAAACCCAACTCGAATCCGCCCGAAACCCCGCCCCGAAGAAATCCGCCGAAAAGACCAGACCCGTTAACCCGGATCCGATATGGCTCGACGAGTCGGATTCGGACCAGGATCTGATATCGGAGTTCCGCGGCCTCCCAACCCGAATCCACCAGACCCTGCTCCCCGACCTCAAGAAAATCTCCATCACCTCCAAAGCTTACATCTACAAAGCCAACAAAAACATCGCCCAAAACGTGAAGCCCTTCGTGGGGAACAAATACGCTCCCAAAATAGCCGCCGCTCCTGCTTATTTTCCTCGTTTTGCCCCTGCTGTCTGGTCACCGCCCCTTTTTCTGCACCCTCACTCCTACCTCTCCCTCCAACGCTTCCTAATCTTCGTCCAGGCGCCTAACCTGGGCACTTTTACTTCGTTCACACCCTCGCCATCACCGCGCTGGTCACGCCGGATTCGCAGCCGTTGAGGTTCTTCTACGCCACGTCGCCCTCGTCGTACGCGTGGACGCAGGCGCGTGCAGACGCTCGGCGCGTACCTGCTGTACCTGCTCGTGCAGCTGATTCATTTGGTGGTCGTGTTCTCACGCGGCTGGACAACAATTGCGGGGGTGAGGGCGCTGGGGTGTAGCGCAGATGATCTGTGGGCTGGCGGTTGGGTGCCATTACTACGCGGCGGTTTTCACCGGGCGGGTGACGGGAGACCCGCCGGCGCGAACTGGAGGGTGCACGGGGTGCTACGCGGGGTGCTTTTTGGTAATTTGCCTGTGCGCGCGTGCGGAGCGGAGGAAGAAGGCGTACGACGGAGGGGAGGATGGTAAGATAAGTTAAAGAGTTTGGAGGGCGTTTTTATAAAAGGTGGAGTTGGTTATACGCAGAAGAAGCCCCGCTGGGGTGCGTGTAATTTTTCAAAGTTTAGGGGGGTGGGGGTGTTATTTATTGAAGTAATGTTGGTTTTTAGTAAATAGAATAATGAGCTACCGACAAGGGTCGTTAGGAAATAAACAATGATGAGTTTACCGGAACTAGCCATTGAGATACTGGATATTTTCGGAATTAAAAACTGACTTGCTTTATGTGTAAATTTTGCTTTCGCAAGGATTAAAGTGGGAGAAATGGAGTATACATGATTCGATTGTTCGTTTTTTTTTTTTTGTTAATATATTCATTTTATTCTTGCTCAATGCTCAAATACAATAAAGTGGTTTTCGTATATGTACCCCTCAAATTATGCTATTTGAAATTACAATCCCCCAACCCGCCAAAAAAAATCTCTTACACGAAATTATTCCACCCCTCAAAGTCAGCGTTGTTGGTTTCTAATCAATGTTAAATTTTTTCCAATAAGTTCGCCGTAATTTACCATTAAATGGTTAAGTGAAAAGGATAGAAAAGCTCAATGTGAAAGAATTTGGCGGTGATTTTGTAAATACCAATATTTTTAAACACGAAATATTTGAGGGGTGCATATGCAAAATGTCTTGGCCCGCACGGTCGCAGCCCATGAGCACAAGGGAGTCTCACTATGACGAATTGGTGAATAGTCTTTTAGTTGTCACGTCCCATTTAATAGGCACTACATGCACACCCTTAGGCACACCATCAACCACACTCCCTCCTGCTACAGTGCAGCGGCTTCACATGTGATTTTTCTTTCTTTAAAAAATCACATGTGGGGCCACTGCACTGTTGCAAGAGGGGGAGTGTGGTTGATGGTGTGTCTAAGGGGTGTACCTCTATCATTTTTCTATTAAAAATGCGTAGACCCAACTATACCCAAGTTGATCACATGAAAACGCATTATACGTACAGTTTATGATATCTAATCCACCTCCCTTAATAAAAAGCGCATCCAATCATTCGAATCACGTCCATCTTTTGACTCCTGACACTTGCATTTTTGTATACTCGTACGTAGTCTTAAAACTATAAATATTAAATATTATACAACATAACACACAACCAGTAGAACCAGAATTTTATATAATAGTGGTGTCATGATGTATATAAAAATACAATATTGTCAAATTTTCCCTCAAACTGAATGTAATCACAACTTTAGCGATATATATAAGTTATAATTAAATGACAGCATCTTTTTTCTTTGATATAAGATGCAAAAGTAAATTTATTTATAAATTAAATATTTGATATATAAATTTGTAAATACGAAATATGTGAGGCGTGTATATGCAAAATGTCTTTGGGCCGCACCCCATTAGCACAAGGGGGTCTCACTATGACGAATTGGTGAATAGACTTAGTCGTCACCTTCCACTCAAAAATACGTACGCGCAAGTTGATCACATAAAAACGCATTGTACAAGTTGTGAGATCTATCTTTTGATTTTTCGACATGTGCATTTTTGTATACTTATAGTCCTAAACTACAAATATCAAATATTATATATACAACATAACATACAACTAGCACAACCAGAATTGTACAACAGTGTCACAACATATATATAAAAAGACAATATTGTCAATTTTTCTCTCAATTTCAATGTAATCAGATCTTTAGCGAGAAATAAAAAATATAATTAAAATACAACATCTTTTTTCTTTGATTAAGATCGATGCAAAAGTAAATTTATTTATAAATTAAATATTATATTAACCGTAATTTAAACACACTTGATTTTGATAAACACATACACTTTCAAAATCAGAACAAGATTCAGATCCTCTCTAAGTAGACGGTAAATGTAGATTATCCAATTTGTTAATCATCACCATGAATCACAACTTCAAGGATAAGATATCACCATGTAGGATTCCATAATATATTCGAACATGAATTATATTCATAGAATTTAGACACATTTTTTTATTGTAATCCAGCGTAGAATCAAACCTAAGACCAGAAAAACCATATTGAATCTCTTAACTGTCTGCTTCACCCACTATGCACTATGAGTGAATTCAGACACATTTAAAAGCAACACTATTTATACTATTATTTAAGAGGAGCCAGGTTTTTGAACCCATTAGCTTCATTTTCAAAAACCCGATAATGCCCTCAAGTTTATTTAGTATTTGAAAAACTAATCTGAGGTTATACTTGAAAAATAATTACATATAGCAAAATTCAAGGTTCATTTAAAATGACAAAACTCCTATGTAAGTACTTATTCTGTATTCAAGTTATTAGGGCGTTAATAAATTTTTTTTATTATACATAATTAATTTACATCATGTGCACGTATTGCACTCACCAGAGTGCCAGTGAATATATGAGAAAACTATTCGGTATATACGAATCCGCTACTGCTCTTGATATTTTAGTTAAAGACCACTGAATCAGATGGGCACCGTCACGAGAAGATCACGTGAGCGCCGCGCCCGCGGATCCCGATCGAACGCGGGAACACAGCTGGACGCTGCTGTGGTCCACCTCAGCAAGCGCGGTGGTCCGCCGACACGGTTCCACGCGGAATAGGCGATACCCTCACTGAAAAGGTGTGGTCACCGCCTCCACCATTTTATTAGGAAAAATTCTTTAAGGACCCAAAATATGGGACCAATAGAGGGGACAAGTGAGGTATCCCCCTCCTATTGGATAATGAGTTGGCCATCATTAATGATGACCAACTCATTATCTAATAAGAGAGGGACACCTCACTTGTCCCACCTATTGGTTCCATATTTTGGGTCCCTGTAGCAAAGCTCTTTTATTAGTTACGTGGCGCTACTTCTAGTTATTATTTGTCTTTTTTTTCCTTCATTTTTTTAGTTATTCTCTTCTATTTAATTTCTTCCTTTTTTTTCCTTTTCTTTTTTTTTTACGATAAAGTACGTATAAGTCATTGCTCCATGCAAGATCTCTCTACTTTTGTTACGTAGAAGAAATATTAAACAAACATGGCGAATATTGATAAATTAAGATTGAAGGACGACGAATATTGTTAGTGTGAGTTGTTAAGGTTGCTAATGTCAAACATTTGATTATACAAACAAGTTATGTCATAATGAGTGCCAAATAAGGCCTCTAACTGTTTAGTTTCATAAGTTTTTTTTTTTACTTATTGTGGAAGTCTTGGACAACATAAAATGGCATGGTTAGTCTAGCTTTTGTACTGTTGCCTAATTGGTCAATTGCAGACAAAGTGGGGTGCAAATATCTAAATTTCACTCTTTTAGATACTTTTTCAGACCCATTGCCGATACTAAGTAGCAGTCAAAAATTTGTATCCATTTTTCATGATATTATGTATGGATCAGATATATCATGGCCAATTCCTCAGAAGATTCTTCCACAATGGACTCTGATAAGTGAGATTTCGAATAAGTGTTTACAGAATCTTCTTCTGTCCGAAGAAATGATTCATCGAAATGGGCCAGGCCTGAGCGGGCCGGACTCCGGACCGGCTCGGTTTTTTTTTTCTTCATTTTTTTATTTCTTTAAGTTTTCAATAATACATAACTAAAAATTAAACAAAATTTTAATAAAAAATTATATTATTATTTATTAATTATTTAAAATTATATAAATTACAAATATAAAAATTTATAAAAATTAAAATGATAAAAAAAACTTTTTAAAACTTTTTTTTAATAATCAGTAAATCGTTTACAATTATGAATTTATTTTGGAATTCGTCGCATCACAATAGATAAGTACATCCCAACTAGGTTAACATCTACTCATCTATATCACTATCATTTGCAATAGTTTTTAAAATAATTAATTTATTATAAATTTTCAACTAAGAAATAAAAATTACAATTTGATTACTCTTTATATCTATCTGCTAGTCCCAACTCTTCAAATTTATCTTCAATATCAGCCATTCGATCAATGCTTTTCGTTCTCTTCTCGTACCTCCACCAATCTTGTAAGCACATGACCGCCTGTACAGTATACGGATCTAACGATGTTCTGTGATCATCGATCAAACGTCCTGTTGTGCTGAAGACGGATTCCGAAACTACCGTAAAAACCTGCAATGCTAGTAAGTCACGAACCATGATGGAAAGTATAGGATATGAAACTGTTCCATATACTTTCCACTATTGCAAAATATCTAAAGTATTATTTTGACATTTAACTAAAGTACAGTTAAATATTGATCAATTTCAGAAACCTCCGCTGATGATCCAAGTCCAGATCCACCAGTTAGCTCAGCTACTATTATATTCCTATCAAAACTTACACTTTTGCCCTGACTTGAGCTCGTACAAGCAGAAGGTGTAGACTGATGTGTAGCTACATCATATTTAGCTGTGTACTCATCATATAATTTTTAAAAATAATTTCTAATAGTATTATGATGAGTAGTAATAGTAATGGTTTGACCATCATTAGTGTCTATAATCATATTATCATACAAGGAGTTTAACAAACTTCGAAGGATAATATCCTTCAAACACGGATCACTAAGAACCCCCAAACCAAAAATAATAGGAAAAAACATAAAATATTAATTAAAATTACTTTTTATTTGAAAATTTATATTTCCAAAATAATTATCCATACAATATTTATTATTATTTTTGAATATTTAAAACTTGTAAAGCAACTAAAGTAATGGTTGGATAATAACAGCTAGATAATACCATTGTAGCATCATAAAAAAACTTTTAACATCTCTTTTAAATTATTTATAACTGTCCATTTATCTTCAGTTATTCCATACATGCTACTAGAGCTAGAATTAAAAGTATAAAAAACAATAAAATTATTTATAATTTCTTTATATTATGTTGTTACACTTAACATTCATATGTGGAATTCCGCCTGTGGTCAAAATTTTTTGGAATTAGTCTGCCTTTTATATTTTTTTTTTCTTTTACAGAATTGTTTCCATTTTTTAATTCTTTGTTCAGAAGCATTATGAGCATAAGCTATTGACCTAACATTTTCTATCATGGATTTAATTTCACCAAATGCACTTTGAACAATTAAATTTAAAATATGATATACACATCTAATATGAAAAAGATCACCAAGACATGGTAATAGCAGATATGTTTTGATATAATCAACAGCTACATTATTATTACTTGCATTATCTAGTGAAAAAGAAAATATTCTTTTTGATATTTCTAATTTTGTAAGTTCTTTAATTATTAAATTTGCAATATTAATACCAGTATGTGACTCGTCAAATGTAATAAAAGAAATAATTCTTTTAAATATTTACTAAT